GAATATGAAAAGTGAGCCTGCATTCTACAACAAAGAGCATATTCTTGTATTATCCATCAATTCTGCTGGTAGGTGGAAAAGGCACTTCTGGTTACCAACCCAGCAGGTTTTTTCCCCTCCCTTGCTGGTTGAGTCCTTATCTTCCATTATAAGTCAGGTATAAAACCCTATCAGCCTAAGTGAATCACGCTAATACCATTACCTTTTTCACAGATAGGTTTAGGGAGGGAAATATGACCCAGTCCTGGCTCCTGAAATGTAAGAAGTCTGCTGAAGGACTTTAGGGGAAGGATTTCTTGTTCTTCAAAAAAGACCCAGAGGAAGAGATGCTCCCTTCTTTTTCCACTGGATCTCATCATGTCTCCATAAATGAGGTGTTTGGAGCAGTGATAATCACCTAGTGACCACAGAGAAAAAGCTTCCTTGAGTAACGGGCACAGTGTCAATGTTAGACAAAAGAGGTTCTGAGTTATTGATATATAAATGACAAACTGAATAAATTGGCCCTAAAACTGCCCTTTCTGTCTCATGTTTGAGATAAAACTGTTTTCTTGGCCGGGCACAGTGGCTCACTCCTGTAATCCCAGCATTTTGGGAGGCCAAGGCAGGCAGACTGCTTGAATTCAGGAGTTCAGGAGAATGGGAAACATGATGAAAACCCATCTCTCAAAAACAAAAAAATCCCCAAAAAAAAAAAAAAAAAGCCAAGCATGATGGCATGTGCCTGTGGTCCCAGCTACTTGGGAGGGTGAGGTGGGAGGATGGCTTAAGCCCGAGAGGTCAACGCTGCAGTTAGCCGTGATCATGCCACTGCACTCCAGCCTCGGTTATAGCAAAAAACAAACAAACAAAACACAACAACAACAACAACAACAACAAAACTTTTCTAGTTTCTTAACATATTGAGTCTAGGTTTTTTGTGACTTTGGATTAAATGGCTCTTTACTGATAAAATTAACCCTTTAGAATTCCACCCGGTGGCTGTACACTTTTCTTTGAAGGACACATGATTTATTTACTTGGTTTTCTACCAGTAACCTTACCCTTGATTATTAGTGAGTCATGCAGAGTCTCTCATTTCCAAAGAAGCATGTGTTGTGGAGAATGTGTTATAGGAAAGTCAGGCTTGTGCCACACTGTGGGATTGCTGCCCAAGAGTGCTATGGGGTGTGTGTAGAATACCAGCCACTACTACCAATTCTCCTTCCAGTACACATATATGCACACATAAGCACATACACACACACACACACACACACACACACACACACACACACTGATAGGGAGGGAAGTATACCTTCAAAGTACCTAAATGCTTTGATCAATTGGACTATGTGGCTAATAACATTCACAGTCCTGTATGTATTGAAGGTGAAATTGGTGGTAGTCATTAATAGGACCACAAAAAATACGATATGCCCAGAATATCACTTTTATTGCAGTGAAGACTGGGGTGGAAGGCCTGGATTTAGGTTGTGAGCCAAATGGAACTGTTAATACCAAACCCAAGAATCAGGCACTTTATCGCCATCAGTCCAGTGAGGCTTCCAACATGCGAGAACAAAAGTAAACTCATAATTTTGGTGGGCATATTCACTCCCAAGATCAGAAAAAGGGTTGAGCTGAGCATAGTGCTATGAACTGGGCTGTGTTCCCTTAAATTCCTATGTGGGAACTTCCATTCCCATTGTGATATTTGGGATTTGAAGATGGGCCTTTTGGGAGATAATTAGTTTTAGATGAGGTCATGAGGGTGGCATCCTCATGGGAGAATTAGTTTCCCTGTAAGAAGAGACACCATAGAGCTTGTTTCTTCTCGCTCTCCACCATGTGAGGACACAGGGAGAAGATGACTTTCTGCAAGCCAGGAAGAGAGCCCTCATCAGGAACTGAATCCTCTGGTACCTAGATCTTGGACTTTCAGCCACCAGAATTGTGGCAAATAATTGTCGGTTGTTTAAGCCACCCAGGCTTCGGCATTTTGTTATAGCAGCTTAGGCAGAATAATACACACACCCACTGATTCTTCCAAGACTTACCAACAATATGAGGACCTCCTTAATGAGCAAGCAGGTGGAGAATAACCAGGCATCGTATTATTTTGACCTCTCTTCACAAGAAGAAAACTTTGGGAATGGAAAAGATGTGCACATTATCAAAATTATTTTTCTCTTCTCCCTCTCATTGTGAATCTCTGTGGGAGCAAGTTGTAGATGGGTGAGGGGAACAATGATTTCCTTCGGCAGTTCAGTAATTCTGCAGCAAGTTTCACTCTTGGATGTTGGTTCGTGTGTTCTGCCCTGGAGAAAAGGGACCAGTTGGTAGATGAGAAAGGGTAGTGATTTTTTTTTTTTTGTCCTCCTGCAGAGAAGAAAGGAGTGTGAGGAAGGGCTGGGACTCATGAGGTCTAGCTCTTTGATTTTGTACTGAGAGCTGAGGCCCAGAGAGGTGAGTAACAGTATGGTGACCCAGGTTGTTCTTCATGGTATCCCACTGCTAGGAGTCAAAGATGTGGACTCCAATTCTACATAACAGGCTCAGTCTTCAATGATTATCTTTTGAACTCTTTGAACCTGCCAACCACAGGAGCAAAATTTACTAAGCATGAGATACATTTTGTTCTTTCCACTCTCATGAGTTTATTACTAAGTGTCCCTTAGCCTTAATTAAAGAATTAATATGCAGTTTTTGTGTTTGTCTGCAGATTTATATGGGAAAGCACTGTATATCTTTGGCTTAAAACTTGGCTGGATTTCTTAATCAAATGTTAACAAAGTTATTCATATAATATATTCCAAGTTAAGTGGAAAAAAAGAGAAACACATTTATGTCTCCATCTTTAAAGGTTTTGCAAACATCAACCAGATTTTGCGAACATTGCTTATCTCTGCAAAGTGGGCTGAGTTAGCTGAGAGTAGGGGAAGAGAGGAACATATATTTTTGACTTTATATACTTGGATCTAAATTTTTGTTGAGCTATCATGTGATTAGTTGCTTAAGTGGTTTGTTCTTCAGGACCTTCAAAAACAGGTTTTGGTATGCATGGAGATTTGAATTGCTCCTCGTTCTGTTTTATGAAGTCACTAGTTAAGAAAAGCACTCGCCTGTGGAAAAGTTTGGATATGGGAATCAAACAGGTCAGGATTTGACTTTCAGTTCTGCCTCTTCCTGTCTGTAAAAGGTCCTGCAAAGAATTCAATTTCTTTGTGTTTCCTCCTCTTTAAAATAAAGACTTGTACTGATTAGCAATAACATAAGTATCAAGTTTGTTACAAAACAGACATTAATAAAGTGCTGGCTACATAAGTAGAAGGGAGATCCTGAACTGCCACATATGGAGGATGATGGCTATCCCTGTTTACCCAATTATCCCACTGTAATTGCTACTAACACCCTTTTTCATTTTCACATCACTTGAACTGAATGATAAATTACATGGTTACCCTATAATAAGTCATATTAATGAGTTTGAACTTTATGCCAAAACCTGTGGAGAGATCCTGAGAGAGAAGACTATGCCCCAGAAGTCATATGTTTCCAAAATTTTCACCAACCACAGAGGATGCCTGCCTGAGTAGTTAAGTGGCATGTTTAAAGAATAGAGGATGGTGTAATCCCAGCAGTAAAAGAAGAGAATCAAATGGTCTAAGGGAGTAGTGAATGATGAATCTGGCGATGGAAGGAGACAGGTATGAAATGAGGCCACTCTGGAGATGGGCTTTGAACGCATGCCTTCCTCTTTTCTGTTGCTGGTTTGTTTGCTTTTAAAATTTCAGTACTGAGAAGTATAAAATCGTTCGAATATTCCCACAAATTCATATTAAATTGGATTCTCTAGCTAATGCAGTGTTATTATTAGGGACTGAATCACTCACTCTGAAATCATCAGCTGATACATTTCAGAGATAAACGTTTAGTAGATGTGCCATTTCTTCTATTTCTACTTGCTGGATGGAATACAAACATCAAAAGATCTTACGGGGTGTAGATAAGAGGGCTGGATCATTCTTGTGTGCCTAAAAAGACACGGAAGAACATCCCAGGTAAAGACTAACTTAGAGACGGTCTCAGGTGTGGACATTAACATATTGTTCTTTCAGAGTGTGGAGTGTACTCTAAAGTAGGGAATACCCTGTGTGCAAGGGAAGCATGCATTTATTCATGGAGTAGAGAACCAGATCAGATTCCATTTTCTGTTCCAGTTGTTCTTAATCAGAAAATGCATACATATTACCCAGGGAGTTTTTGAAAAATACACATGCAGGAGCACTACACCAGACCTACTAAATTAGAATGGATGAGTGGAGGTCTAGTGAATCATGAAAACTTTCTGGGTGAGTCTGATGTACACCCTGGGTTAAGAACTAATGCTCTAGGCCTGTGGTTCTTAAATTTTTTCATGAATGAAGTGGCTTCAAGGCTTGATAAAATTCAGATTTCTTGGTCCCCTGTCCAGAGCTCCTGATTCATAGATTTTAAGAATACAAAGTGAGAATATGTATTTCTAACAGGTTCCCAGGTGATGCTGATGCCCACACTTTGAGAATCACTTCTTTAGGCTGTCCCCTTCTTAATCTCTACCCTCACTGCTTTAATTCAGGAGATATAGTTTCTTGCCTGGACTATTACTGCAGATTTTCATCTTGTGTCATTACCTTCCACTTAATCTGTTGCTAGAGTGATCTTTCTAAAATAAAAAGTTTATCTACCTACCTATCATCTATCTATCTATCTATCTATCTATCTATCTATCTATCTATCTATTAGTTTCATTCATGGTTCCTGGCTTGTAACTCCCATAGCGCTTGTTACTTTCTTTTAATATAGTGTTCGAACACTTTAGGCCTCAGAAAACAGTCTCTCTCTGTCTCTCTCTCTCTTACCTTTTCCTACCCTCCTCTCACCTATTCTTTTTTTCTCCCCAAGGCAGGCTTTCCCCCACTTTTCTGTCTTGGAGCTAGCCATAAAGAAATTCTCTGACTTACCTTGTCTGATTTTAGGTCATAAGACCCCCATTTCAGAAGGGGTCCTGCCTGATGCCTGGGAAGAAGAAATACTGCACAGAGATGCCAAGAAAAATCAGGACAGGCCTCGCTGGGTTTCCTCACTTAGTCCATCAGTATTAGATAATACCCCTTTTGTCCAGTCACATCTCTACTCAATTATCAATCATGCCTATCAAATGCAATCTCCAGAGAAGGCTTAAGAAGAAAGGGTGTGAAGAGCTTCTGGACAGCTGAATTCATGGAGGCTTGCAGGAAGGAGAACAATAACTCATCATGTGCCAAAAGGGTAGTGCAACCCAGCTCCACAGAGACAGAAGCTCCTGTGCTCAGGACCCTTCCAGACCTCGCCTTGGATATGTTTTCATACGGCTGTTTATTTGTATCCTTTAAATATTCTTTATAATAAATTCATAAATGTAAATAAGTGTTTCCCTGAGTTTTGTGAGCTGCTCTAACAAATTAATTGAGCCTAAAGAGGGGGTCCTGGGAACTCCAACTTGAAGCCAAACAGTTAGAAGTTCCAGAGGCTTGGACTTGCAAATGATGTCGGAAGTAGGGGCAGTCTTAAGCCCTCAACCTGATGGATCTGATACCATCTCCAGGTAGATAGTGTCAGAGTTGAATTGGATTGGAGGACATACAGCTGGTGTCCACTGCAGAACTGATTACTTGTATATTAGCTTGTTTTCATGCAACTGATAAAGACATACCCAAAACTGGGGGAAAGAAAGGTTTAATTGAACTTAAAGTTCCACTTGGCTGGGGAGGCCTCACAATCATGGCAAGAGGTGAAAGGCTCTTCTTCTTACATGGCGGCAACAAGAGAAAATGAGGAGGCAAAAGTGGAAACTGCTGATAAACCCATCAGATCTCCTGAGACTTATTCACTACCATGAGAATAGCATGGGAAAGACAGGCCCCCATGATTCAATTACCTCCCACTGGGTCCCTCCCACAACACGGGAATTCTGGGAGACACAATTCAAGTTAAGATTTTGGTAGGGACACAGCCAAACCATGTTGCTTGCTTGTTGATGGGGAGAAATCCCCCACAGATTTGATCATGGAACTTTTCTGTGCTGATTGTTGTGGTGTGAGAGCAGAGAAAAAACAATTTGTGTTTTTTTTTCCATACAATATCTCAATACCTTAAAGTGTCTTCATGACTCCTCACTTAATTAAGTAAAACTTTATGGAACTCTTTGGTCCCTGCTGTCACACCAGCCTCATCTCCCACTGCTCAGCCATGCTGTGACGCTTGTCTTCAGAGCAGACCAAATTCTCCCAGATAATAGCGCATTTATTATTGTTGCTGCAAAGCAGGGAGGAGGACAGACTTCCAGAGGTCCTATTTAGACTTTTCCATTTCTGCTTCTAGCTTATAGGCTTGGGCAATTTACTTTGCCTCTTTGTTATTTCTTTATCTTTTCACTCTCAATCAATGTCTTAATAAATAGATATCTTGATTTTAGAGGAGTCTAATTAATCAATATTTTCTTTATTGTTGGTACATTTTATGTTACATTTAGGTATTCTCCTAAATTCTAGGACATGTATTTATTGTTTTACCTATCACAGTTAAGTGTGTTAGGTGTAGGGTATTCTTGTGTATGGTTTCTCCCCATGTGAATAAAAGTTATTCCAACACTATTTATTGTAAAAGTAATTCTCTCTCTCTCTCCATACATATATATACATATAGCTGCTGTGGAACCATTTTATTTTTCAAGGAATCTCCCACTCATCCTTGAACACCAGTTTGGATAACACTTCTTTTGAAGAGCCAGGTCTGCATTCTCTATGTAAAGTGTTTCTGTCTTTGATCACTTAGTCTCTTTCTTTGATCACTTATAGTATTTAATTCATGTTTCCATGGTAATACTTAGTAGTTCTCTCTCAGTCATCTATGAGCCTCTAAAGAGAAGATTTTGTTGTTATTGTTTGGTAATATGGCTCCTCTAGAAGCCTAGCCACAGTGTTTAAAAATATTGGTTAAATGAATACTTTGTTAAACAACCAACTGGGAAACCCTAACCATTGGGTCATGGTCCTCATAGAAGATGAGAATGATGGTTGTGAAATAAGACAGAACAGGACGCCTGAACACAAGGGACCAAATGCCACGTAGAACAGAAGCTGTTAGCCAGTTATCCTCTTCTCTTCCTCTCTAACCTTGTATCAGCCAATCACAAAGTCTATCATCTGTTTTTCTCAGGAAAATCTAAGAAGGGAAAGTCTTAGACAACTAAGAAGTATAGAATCAGAAATAGTTGATGTTTTGTGTAGGGAATGAAAATTATTCAAAAAATTTGGATATATTTTGTTTTGAAGCAGAGCATATCTACAGTAAAATGCACCAATCTAACTGTACAGCTTGATGGATTTTTACAAGGTGTACACACCCACATTACCAACACTCAGATCAAAATATAAACATTTATCTTACCTCAGAAGCCTCCTTTGTGGCACCTGCCAGTTATTCTCCTCAAAAGGAAACCATTGATTTTATTTCTGTAACCATTTTTGCCTTTTTTGAATTGAATTTGAATTAAATGGAATTTTACCACAGGTCCTTTTGTGGCTGCTGTTTTTGCCCATCATGTGTCTAACAGAGTTAGTCATATTTTTGAGTGAAGCAATAGTTTATTTTCTCATTGTTTTATAGTTTCTATTCGTAGAATATACTATAATTTATTTATTCATTCCACTGTTGATGAACACTTGGGTCATTTACAGTTTTTGATGTTTAAAAATTGTACTGCTGTGAATATTCTTGTAAAAAGTCTGGTAGTCAAATTATTGGGCCATAATGTGGCAGATAGACCCTAAGGTGACCCTCAGTGACCTTTACCTTCCTGGTATCCAAACCTTTGTGTACTTCCCTACCCCACAAAGTGAGGACAGGACCTACAACTTGCTTTTAACCCATAAAATATGGCAAAGGTGATAAGATACCACTCCTTTTCTGAGGTTCCACTATGTAGCACAGGAAATGAGATAGCACTCCTGTAATTATGTTATTCTACATAGGAATATGGCATAGTAATTGGAGCAAGAGGTGCTACTTGCTGGTTTGCTGAAGTGAACAGTTATGTTGAGAGAGCCTACTTGGCCAGGAACTGTGGGTGGCCTCTAAGACTTGAGGCCAGCCTCTTTCTAGTAAACAGAATAAAGCTGAGACCCTCAGTCATACAGTCCAAAGAAAATAAGTTCTTCCAACAACCTGAATAAGCTAAGCTTGGAAGCATATCCTTCCCCACCTGAACTTCTGGATGAGCACACAGTGAAACTGACACCTCGCATTGTGTGAGATCCTGAACAGAAGACCCATCTAATCTGTGCCCACAACTCCTGACCTGGAAAGTGTAAAATAATAAATGTGTGTTTCAAGCTGCTAACTTTGTGGTAATTTGTTATTAATACTACGTTTTTGACAATAAAAACTAATATATAGAGAGTATGCATGAGCTTCTAAACATTGGTAGGTAATGTCAAATTATTTCAAAAATTGTGGTATATATTTATGCTATCAATAAACAAGAGTTTCATTTATTCTTCATCTTTGACAATATTTGACACTCTCAGGATTGTTTTCAATTACGGTCATTCTAATGAGTGTAACTTCCTTCTGTATTTTTATTATGACCAGGTTTGTAAAACAACTTTTCATATACTTATTGGCCAATTATGTTACAAGTGCCTGTCAAGGTCTTTGGCCAATCAATTTCTTATGGATGCATTATTTATAGAGTCTAGATACGAGTCCTTTATCATGTAATGAATTATAGAATTGTTATTCCGCTCTGGTTTATCTTTTCACTTTCAATCAATGTCTTAATAAATAGATATCTCGATTTAGAGTAGTCTAATTAATCAATATTTTCTTTATTGTTGGTACATTTTATGTTACATTTAGACATTCTCCTAAATTCTAGGGCATGTATTTATTGTTTTACCTATCTCAGTTAAGTGTATTATATGTAGTTTATTCTTGTGTATGGTTTTTCCTCATGTGAATAAAAGTTATTCCAACACTATTTATTGTAAAAGTAATTCTTTCCTTACTTTATTTTAGTGGCACCTTTATAGCATTTGTGGGGATACATTTTAGGACTCTTCATAGCTCTATTTGTCTATGTTGTGTCAACGCCATATGGTCTTAATTATATTAGTTTTAACTTAATTTTTTTTTGCTGTTTAAAAATTTATTTTTTTCTTCAACTTTTAAGTTCAGGGGTGCATATGCAGGATATGCAGGTTTGTTACATAGGGAAATGTGTGCATGGTGGTTTGCTGCACAGATCATTCCATCACCTAGGTATTAAGACCAGCATCCATTAGCTATTCTTCCTGGTACTCTCTTTCTCCCAATGCCCCCACTCCCCAACAGGCCCCAGTGTGTGTTGTTCCACTCTACATGTCCACGTGTTCTCATCATCCAGCCCCACTTATAAGTGAGAGCATGCGGTGTTTGGTTTTCTTTTTATGGGTTAGTTTGCTGAAGATAATGGCTTCCAACTCCATCCATGTCTCTGCAAAAGACATAATCTCATTCCTTTACATGGCTTCATGGTATTTCATGGTATATAGGTACCACATTTTCTGTATTCAGTCTATCATTGATGGGCATTTAGGTTGATTCCATGTCTTTGCTATTGTGAATAGAGCTTCAATGAGCATACATGTGTATATATCTTTAAAATAAAATGATTTATATTCCTCTGGGTATATACCCAGTAACAGAATTTCTGGGTCAAATGATATTTCTGTTTCTAGGTCTTTCAGGAATCACCACACTGTTTTTCACAATGGTTGAACTAATTTACACTCCCACCAATCGTGTAAAAATGTTTCTTTTTCTCCATAATCTCACCAGCATCTGTTGTTCTTTGACTTTTTAATAATTGCTATTCTGACTGGCACGAGATGGTATCTCATTGTGGTTTTGATTTGCATTTCTCCAATGATTAGTGATGTTGAGCTTTTTTTCCCCAAATGTTTGTTGGCTGCATTTATGTCCTCTTTTAAGAAATGTCTGTTCATGTTCTTTGTCCACTTCTTACTGGGGTTATTTGTTTTTCTAAATTTGTTCAAGTTTCTGTAGAGTCTGGATATTAGACCTTTGTCAGATGGATAGATGGCAAAATTTTTCTCCCATTCTGTAGGTTGTCTGTTCACCCTGATATTAGTTTCTTTGCTGTGTGGAAACTCTAGTTTAATTAGATCCCATTTGTCAATTTTTGCTTTTGTTGCAATTGCTATTGGTGTTTTCATCATGAAATTTTTGCCAGTGCCCATGTCCTGAAGGGTATTGCTTAGATTTTCTTCCAGGTTTTTTTATAGTTTTGGGTTTTACATTCAAGTCTTTAATTTATCTTGAGTTAATTTTTTGTATATGATGTAAGAAAGGGATCTAGTGTCAATTTTTTATATATGGCTAGCCAGCATTCCTAGCACTATTTATTAAATAGGGTTGCTTGTTTTTGACAAGTTTGTTGAAGATCAGATGGTTGTAGGTGTGTAGTCTTATTTCTGAGTTCTCTATTCTGTTGCATCAATCTATGTGTCTGTTTTGTAGCAGTATCATACTGTTTTGGTTACTGTAGCCTAGTAGTATAGTTTGAATTTGGGTAGTGTGATGCCTCCAGCTTTGTTATTTTTTGCTTAGGATTGTCTTGGCTATTCAGACTCTTTTTGGCCCACATAAATTTTAAAATAGCTTTCTCTAATTCTGTGAAGAAAGTTGATGGTAGTTTGATGGAAATA